CACCGATTGAGCATAAACACTTTTTTTTCATAGCTTTTTCTTCATAGCTATGCAGATGTCTAACCATATTTTCTTGTTAATTGTTGTTAAAATGCAGATGACATGAAACCATATTTTCTTATTTATCTATATATACTTTTTTGTTTAAATCTAGCTATATATACAAAAAGATGTTATAATGCTTAGTTAGGGAAAGGATAAGAATGCTGTAGCAGAAATTTCTAATTCATTCACTTTAAAATGCCTGAGAGGGTGAAAATTTTAAGAAAATACAGCAACTGCAAATATGTAAAGATTTTAACCAAAAAAAAAATATCTCTATAATATTATTTGAGAAGTCAGTTTCCTACGTGTCGCGCACACGTTAACTGTCGCGATGGTTGATTACATAGATACCCTTAATGAATTATTAGATTTTAAGATTATTTTTTCTTTATTTATTTTTTTTTACTTTTTTCCAAATAACATATATAATAAAAAGGAAATATTTCTAATATTTTAAAACAAAAATATATGTATATAATAGGACTTTATTGAAAAGGAAAGTTCACAAAATAGTAATACCCCTATTAATATATATTTTAAATAACATAAATATATTTTTAAAATAAAAAAATATATATATGTTCATGAACATCTAAAAATTTATCAGTTACACTTTATTTTCTAATATTTTTTAGAAATCAACATATAATTTGATAAATATTATGATATTATATTATTTGAGAAGTCGGTTTCCTACGTGTCGCGTTCACGTTAACTCTCGCGATGGTTGATTACATAGATACCCTTAATGAATTATTATATTTTAAGATTATTTTTTTATTTATTTTTTTTTAACTTTTTCCAAATAACATATATAATAAAAAGGAAATATTTCTAAAATTTCAAAAACAAATTTTAAAACGAAATATATGTATATAATGGGACTTTATTAAAAAGGAAAGTTCACAAAATAGTAATACCCCCATTAATATATATTATAAATAACATAAATATATTTTTATAATAATAAAAATATATATATGTTCATGAGCATCTAAAAATTTCTCAGTTACACTTTATTTTCTAATATGTTTTAGAAATCCACATATAATTTGATAAATATTATGAAAATACACGTATATTTAAGCGATAAATAAAACTAATTTGATTTGACTTAACTAAAATAAAGAGTAAATAAATATTATGAAAATACATGTATATTTAAGCGATAAATAAAACTAATTTGATATGACTTGACTAAAATAAAAAGTAATTATACTTCAATTTTAATTTAAAAATATATTTAACTCAATATACTCACAAAATGAATGACTCGACTGATCTAATTTATATCCAAAATTAAACATCTTCTAATTTTATAATAATAATATATTTAATTTTATACATATAAATCAGAGATTGACTTAAAGCGTATTAAAAAAAAAAAAAAATATTCTTCAATTTATATGCATGAGACTTTAAAATATTATCATTATATTTATTTATGTAATTTTGAATCAAACTTCAGCTTATTATTTATTTCATTTTAAGCACAATATATATTAATTTATACATAATTTGACTATAATATATTTACATATCTAAAGATAATAATCAACCGAAATAAAAATAAGAAAATTAATCAAAGTTTTATTCTATCTTATATATTAAAATAGAAGTCATGACTTCAGTTCACGTGTGATTTTTTTAAAATTTGGACTGTTCCTAGAGAATTTATATACTGTATTTTTATTTTACTAATAATATAACAAACCTAATTCTTAGTACAGATTAAATATTTGACTTTCTTTTCTATGCCAATAATCCTAGCATTAGATTTAGCTACAAACGTCACGAGAAAGAGATATGTAGAATCTGGGATCTGGAAATCATTATCATCATCATGCTTGCCATTAGAAAATCAACAAAAGCTTTGATGCCCATACCTAACCCTAATCCAGAAATTGAAGAGAGGATCAAAGGGGATCTTCAAAGGATGCAAAAGCACCGTGAATCTCTCTCGAAAACACAATCCTCAGACCCGGCCCGACTAAAACCGTTCCATAACTCTACACTAATTCGTCTCTACCGATAGATTCTCACCCTTGATCTAACTGTAGACAACCCTATAATGTAGGACTGACTACAAGAACACCTATCCATGTGCTTATGCTGATCACATATCAGAGAGGACTTGCCAGCTTCTGACATTAGTATGCATATATATAGAGATGTTTGCTATTGGCATCAGGAAAGACAGTAAACTAAAATAGAATAGATTGAAATGTCGGTTGCCTGTATCAGTTTGCAATCACATGCTGATGCAACTTATGACATGAACTATGGTGTTAGATCAGTACATGTGACAATATTTTCTTTTATTCTAATTATTTATATGTTAAAAGGTTTAATGTGTAGAAGATGAATGTTCAGCTCAAATTACTTTAAGTGTGATTTCTTTCCAAGGGTGGTGGGAGATTTTCATCTAGAGATACCATTTGAAGAGTTGTTCCTAGAGCTTTAGCCAAGAAGATTTTGAAACAAGTGCTGGGACATAGGTGTGTTTATTTTCTCGAATCAATTATGCTTTATATCTTTTCTAACGTTTGTGTCAATCTTTCATCTCTCTATTTTTTTATATCTTAACATAACCTTGAAAAGCGAATCCCCTTAGTAATTTAACTCACTAACCCAAATCTCAACTGATTCATGCAACTCTTTCAAATCTTCTCACGATTGTCTCTTTTACCTTTTTGTGCCTTCTAATTCTTGCCTACATCTCTCCACCAGATTGTATTTCCAGAGGATTTGGTAGACCACAAGAATTTAACACTTGAATAGGTGTGCATTTATTTTAGTGTATGGCTTACATTTTGTTTGCGGTTGAACTTTTGCCGTTTTGGTGACCTGATTCTTTCAGTGGATTTGCTGCACCTTTTATCTACTACCATTATAATATTTTCCTTGGTACTGTAGGTGTTGCTACTTCTTATTAAGGCTCTTTCAGTAATTGTGGTAACACATTTTCCTTGCCTTCCAGATATAAAATAATATTGTCTGGTGCCTTAATCCCGAGTATGTAGAAAAACAATGATAGTTGTGATTGGTGTCAAGACTAATGAACTTGGTTGGTGTTATTATGATCCCTGCATCAGTTTTCTTTTCAACATGTAAATTATATAATTATTGTATTTGAAAAAGTATATAAACATTTAAATAAATGATTAGCGTTACAAATATATACTTTAATACAGTAAAAAAAGTATTTATATACAAAATGACTCATATGCACAGATCAAGAAAATAAAGAATTAGAGGATTTATTTAAAACCCAAAAAATAAAGAACTTTGAACTCTGTTACAGTTTTTTTTTTGTTTGGTTACGGAAATATAATTTAAAACTAGATTCTAATCCACGCAACCTCACGGGTGTTTAATTTCTTTTATATATTTTATAGATATTTAATATATATATATATATATATTAACGTTAAACATGTGTTTAAAAGTTTTGTAATTATTTCAAATATAATTATTTACACTTTGTGCAAATCAATTGTTTTAAACCTTTACATGTATTTGTCTCTTTTTATTATATATTTATCTTGATAATTTACATTTGCTTATTAATTAAAAAAATATATGCATGAAAAACATATTTAATATTAGATATATTACTTTATCAATTTAGTATACTTTTATCCTATTTAATTCAGTATAAAAATTATTTTAATATCATAGCTTATGATAATAAAATAAATAAAATAGGATAAAAGTTTAATTTTTTATTTTATGAAAAAAAAAATATATATTAATATTTAATAATATTTTGTTATTAATTATGAAATTAGTGAAAATATTTAGATAATATTTTTAAATTGAGATCTCTTAAAAATATTTTTTCAACAAATTTGCTTGAATTTTGAAATATCTATATATATATATATATATAAAATGAAAAAATATTATGATTAAAGAAGTTACATAGATTATATATTATTAATATTAAGAAGATACATTGATAAATTTCTAAGGAGGGTGCAACTAAAAAATCACACATCAAGTTCTATTTTAATATATAAGATATATAAAATGATACTTATATTTCAATATTATAATGGACTATTTAAATTTTATATGTTTGAATAACATTACATAGATACTTATATTTCAATATTATACCTTCAAATTTAAATTATTAAAAGTATCAATTTTTTGTGTAAAATTCAATAGTTCATTTTATCGTATGTTATAATAATTTATACTAAATGCTTAAAGATTAGTGTATACGAATATTTTAAATTGTCAAAACTACCAAATAAAATAATTAATCTTTTAATTATTTATAAGCTAAATTGAAAAATTTACATGTAATTTTAATAGTAAGATTCTAACTATAAAATAATTTCAAATTTGTTTAAGTAAGTATATATCAGTTCTTCTAATAATTAAAAACAAATCCAATAACATAGATCTATAATAAGCACTAAAAATACATGTGGTGGATTCAAACAATTAGTTGAATAGGCAAATATGCAAAAAATGAAATTATTGGCTTTTAAAAGAGAATATAAACATTTAATATATATACCTAAAAGTAAAACAAACACCCGCGCGGTTGCGCGGGTCAAAATCTAGTTTAGAATTAAAATATTATAGCTGAATTTGAAAAATAGATATTATCCAATATACCAAATTGATAACCAAACCGACTATTGATCAAAAAAATAATTAAACCAATAATAATATATCCAAAGTCATATGTATAATTAGAATAATGTAATATTTATTAATATAAATTATACATATAAATTGATTCAAAACTAAAACTAAATATCAATCAGTGATTATTAAATTTTACTTTTATGAATATTCATATCCGTGCATGAGCACGGAAAAATCACCTAGTATGTATGTAAAAGTTTTGAAGTTCTGTGATTTCACACTATTTCTCATACCTACTCCTACCAATAAAATCCCTCTTGCGTGTAGGACCATAAATCAATGAAATCATACTACATGCCAACCCAACTGAAACAGTTGAAGCCCATCATCACCAGTCCACCTTCCTCGTCTGTTTTGAACTTATGGCTGATACACGGGACCTTGGATTGTCCTGCAGCTATAAACTCAGGTGTTTGTGCAGTTTTAAGATCTTTTCCTCGTCCCCTTGTCACTCTCTCTCCTCCTCTTCTCTTTTTATCCTCTGTCCTTACTTGCAAACCCAAAATTTATTAAGAGAAGACCCACAAGAGAGAAAGAACAGTGAACTGAAGATGCCATACTTTCTTGATTCTTCGTTGTGAAGCTTAGCATCAAGTTCCTTGCTTGGTGAGTATCTAGGTAAGTTTGATGGATTAGCAAGTAGTGGCTCCGTTTTGAAGAACTGAATAGAACAAAAGTTTTAAAACTGATCATGAGAATGCATCTAATAACTTGTAAAAGAAGCATATATTTAGGGTTAGTATCAGTATATTACTTTGCTTTTCAATGCAGAAGCAGCTGAGCCACGTTTTTCAGGCTCTAAATCTTCTGAGCGTGAACTACATAGCTTAAGGATCTTATGCATCTGCTCCACCTGAGAATCAAAACATATAAGTATATCACCAGCTGTGTTCTATAAGGTTGATTCTGGAGTAACTTAAATCTCCGTGCATCTACCGTGTTTTTTCTCTAGATGTTTTTTTGTTTTCTTCTATGTGTATGATTCGCGTTTGTTCTAACCATACACAAATAATAAAAATCTAATAGATGGTGCTTAGCATTATATAGCCAGTTTCTAAAAAACTAAAATGTAATAAGAGTGTTCCATTACTTCTGTGCGTCTTGCCATGATTGGCTTTCCAGCGAATAGCTCAGCGAGAATGCAACCTGCACTCCACATGTCTATGGCTGGTCCATACTCAGTAGCACCGAGCAGGAGCTCAGGCGCTCTGTACCATAAGGTTACAATGCGACTTGTCAGCTGGAGATCTCCATCACCCCTGTAAAAAATTAGCCTAACCAAAATCACCAAACTCCAAAACCCCTCCTTTGTTAAGGTTAAAGTATTAAAACCTATATTGATAAAACAAAGACGGTATATAGTATTTCACAGAAAGTTAAGATGTCGACATCTTTTCCTGGGTAGTACGACCTAGGCGGAGAAAGGTAGCGGAGACAATGGCCGATTGCAGTAGTCTTTTCAGAGATGAAACGGTACCATCATACACGGTCGCATCGGCTCGTCGATGATTCCCATCGCGGCGGCTCCTCCTTTCTTCTGAATTTCGATTTCCATTTGCCTATCTTTGCGCCGGCCGTTTGAGATTGGGGTGAAGAAGAGACACCAATAGACACCGATGGGAAAGCAACGCTTTAGGTTAAAAAAAAAAAACGCTTTAGGTTAGAGGAAAAAAAATAACAATATGAATTGAAACCAAATAGAAACCAAATATTAGAGGCCCATTTCTGTTTCGTCCGACGTTTCTAACCTGACAGTCCTAGGTGGCACTCTAGAAGGAGAGTGAAACACTCAATTATATAATAGATAATTACTGCTGGTTTGTTTAAAAATTTGGTTAATAATAGTTGGTTGTATTTATTAATGTGAAAAAGAGAAATATATTAAATCATGAAATCGACTCATCTATACTATTAAAAGAGAACTAGATCTTGACCCGCACAACCGTGCGGATTTTATTTTCAATTTTATATGCATATATATATTTATTTTATATCATTTCTAATTTTAATTATATATTTAAATATTTATATAACTATTTCAAATAAAATAATATATAGTTTATATGTTGTAAATAATCGATTGTCTAAAATAATTACATGTATTTGCTACTTCTTATTATATATTTATTTTATTGTATTTGTATTTGGTTATCAAACAAATTAATATGTGCATGAAAAACATATTTGAAAAGTATTTTGTGGTTAATATATGTTAAATTTGGACTCGTCTTCAAAACTCGATTTCCTTTTAATAATATTTTATGTTTATTCATTTTACATAATATATTATTGTATATACAAAAGTCTAAAATATTTTAATGTTTAGACATGTATTGTAGTCTGTTAGCATATTATATATTTAATATAAATATTTGATATTTATGAAAATAAACTTTATAACTCTATTAAATTAATAAAATTTTATAATATGTATTTCAATAAAAACTTTTATTTTACATTGTTGAATATTATGACTATAAAATAGATAGAATTAGGATAAATTTCATTTTTTATTTATAAAAAAAATTGTATATATATGTATATATTAATGCATAATAATAGTACATTTCTAACTACAAAATTAGTGAAAATTTTTACATACACTTTTTGAAAATTAAGATTTTGTTAAAACATTTAGATCAAGATAATAATTTTATTTTAATATGATTATATAATAGATAAAAAGCGATAGAATATTTATTTTCGTTTTAAAAATGATAACTAAATATATTAATATATAATAATATTTCAAAACTAATCACGAAAGTATTGCAAATATTTATATATAATTTTGAAAATGAAGATTTTGTTGAAATCTTCTTAAACAGTTTTTTCGAAATTTTTAATATATTTAATATTATATTTTAAATGAAAAAATATCAAAGAAATTGTGATTAAAGTATTTCAAAGTATCTATATATTATAAGTCTTCTTAAAATACATTTAATATAAAAAAATAAGAGTGGTCCAACTTAAAAATCACACATGAAATGAGGTTGTGACTTCTATTTTAATATAATAGATCATCCCAATATCTATTTACGCAAGATTGTTGCATCTATTCATTAACTAATTATTATTTTTGATTATACATTATATTTTTCTAGCTATATCAGAATAAATGTTCTTATTTATCTTTTGATTTTTTGCCTTTAAATACACATAATCTTAATGGATTTAATATTTAATATTAAAGAAAATTAATATAAATCAGTTAATTATGATAAGTACTCAGTTTGGTTTAGTTTTATGTACTATATAGATATATGAGAAGTTGAATAAATTTTAAGGGAAATATTATTTGATTTTTCTGGGTCTTGACCAGGTTAACCGGTGTTAGTTCATTGGTTAATGACAGATTTTTGGGTTTCATCAGATTTTTAATTAATAAATTTTCATTAAATCTGATTTTTTTTAGAAATATATCAGTTGGTAGAAACTCTAATAGAATGCCACATGAAGAACATAATCATGTCCGAATTATATACTACCATCGGGTTTATTGGCTTGACTGCGGGTGCGGATTGAATGTGAAAACACTGCTTATATTTTAAATAAAACTAGATTTTGACCCGCGCTTAGAAGCGCGGAAATTTTTTATGATTAAAAATTTATATAATTATGTTTTGTTTTCATTTAAAGAATATTTTGATATAAAATCAGTTCACCAAAACTTGTGGTGATGATTGTTTTTCATTAGTTTTTAGTTTCACTTTTTATTTTTAGATTTTGGTTTTTGGTTTTTAAGTTTCTACTTTTCATTTTCAGTTTTTGGTTTGGGTTTTTAATTTTTAAACCCGCAGAGTTAGTTTGAACTGATATTACCAACAAACAAATCTCAAATAATCGAACATTTAATTTAAAACTGAAAAGATGAAAACAAATTAAAAAAAAATTGAAATAGTTTATAGAGAGATTAACATTGAGAGTCACTTTTAAGATTTTATTGTCACTATAAGACACTTACAGCTACTGGAGCAGTTTTTAGGTGGTTAATTACATCAATAGCCTCATAAATGAAAAATGGTAAATTATGTATTTCTCTCTCTTACTTTATGTTCTCTCGCTCTCAATTTCTCAGATCTGTACAACTTTTATGAGAACAAAATTCTGATGATCGAAGAATTTTTGAGGCTGAAAAGAGGAGATTGTTGGCTGAGATCGATTATCTCCACCATTGTGACCCATCTGATAACAATATAGAGAGAAATCTGATCGAAAATTTCTTCATCAGATTTTTATTTCTGTTTTAAATTAAAAAAAATCAAACTTTTTTCCGGCGAGAATCTTGAGACTTTAATAATTTATACAAATCGTTGAGTTTTTATGATGTCTTAGGTGTGATATTGCCCGAATGTGTTGGAGTCTAAAAGTACTATAAAACTGATTGACATGGGACAAGAAGAATAAGATGGCGTCTTACATTCATCTCGGCCGAAGAACTCCATTTTGTCTCAGTCTTACTTTTCGTTTTCCTTTTAGTTTCTGTGGATATTATAATTGTCGTTTTTGACAGCAAATTAACGGTGTACATATGGATAATAATTTTACTGTACATATAAATCTTGTTTAAAAACTTGAACGATGTGATTTCTTTTGGTTAACTATAGTACACGATTATCATTGACTATGATTAGAAGGCTTGATCATCCTAGTGAGAAGACTAGAACGATCATTGTAATGACATGTTAGAAGATTTGATCAATACGTGTGGTTTCATCTTATTTCTTACATTTGATCAATAGGTGTACAAATGTACAAACAAATTAGGTATACACATGTACGCTTGGAATGTAATGTACACATGGATAACACAATTTCTTTTTAAAACCTGCAACATAACACATGTTTTGAGAAATGTGTACACAATCAGTTCAGTGTATATATGTACAATACAAATTAGGTGTACACATGTACACCTACAGCCGGTGTACATATGTACCATACAACATATGACTTACTACCTCCAGTTCCAGCATCAGCGTAAAAACATTTCAAAAAGATTGAAACTTTGCAACAAATTAATATCATTTTTCACAAAAGATTGCAATTTTATGTTAGTCTAGCAACCGTGAATCTGTTAGAACATAATCAGTGTATGATGTGTCCTTATGTTAGTCTGACCATAGTGAATCTGTAGGTCCCTTTTTGCAAGACCATCTCATCTGTTACCTAATTCGCAAAACCAAGTTTTCTTCATCACACCCTCTCACATACATCGCTAGTTCGTCTCCTTCAACATCTCTCTTCGTGACAGTGAAAAATATCATATGTCAAAAATCAGCTTCAAAGAAACCATAGCTAACAGCAACCTGAAACATTTAAGTCGTTTTATTTTAGGAACAAAGTTGAGAACATGCTTTCATGAATTGTATATATTGGATTGATTCATTTCCTTACCAACTTCGCCTCAGTTTCATGCCATTTAACCTCTGCGAGCTCTCTTTGCAATATGTACCCCATCTAATATTTTCCAATGTCAAGCAGACACTTTGCTTATCCCTGCTCAACAGATCTTTGTCTTGGCTACGATAAAGGCCAGTCTTCTTCAAATCTGTTTGGTAGCTTCTCAGCCTCTTCGAAAGCTTAAAGTTATTGAAGGACAAATGCATATAATTAATAATAAGAAGAATCCCAACTCATAAAAACAACACAAAGATCAGTGGTAGATGATGAATGTTGCATATACAGCCTCCTCCTCCTAGAAAGTTTATTTCTTTCAACGGATTCTTCAGCTCTTCAATAAAGATGACTCTTTTAATAGTTTTGGGGAAGGATTCGTGATTCTCGAAGCTCTCAATGAGACTGTCGTGGGAATGGATGGTGGGTTTCCTGTTGACGGAGAGAGAAGTGAAAGAAGAAAACGATGTCCAAATGGAAAATAAGAGGTGTTTGAGGAGAAGGTAGAAGAAGGGTTTTGCAGGCAAAAGAGAGCAAAGGAAGATGGTTTAAAGTAGGTGATTAACGAATTTGGTAATTAAAGTGAGAGGTTGGGTTTGTGGAAGAAGAAGCCGCAGAGATCTACGGAAGGTGGATGAAGAAGATAAGGTCTAATTAATAAATATTTTAAAAAGAAAAAGAAATGTGAAGTCTAAATAAAATTTTAAGCAACTTGTGATGAAAGGGTATAAATGAAATTTCGTATGTGATTTGATTGGAAAAAGATAGAGAAAGTGTCTTAGTAGTCACAAGTGTCTTAGAATGTAAGATATAAGATAAAATGTGACCTATGGTGTAATTCTTTCTAGTTTATATTGTAAATAAACAAAGCAAAAAATATAATATGTGTTTTCGGATTTTGGTTTTGGATTTTAGTTTTTAGATTTAATTTTTGGTTTTGCTTTACATTTTTTTAATCAGTAAATTATTTAAGAAAAATAAAACAATAAATTATTTAAAAGTTACAATTGAAATTTATCAAAACAAAGTGATTGTTATTTAAAATAAAAAAATATATTAACATATTTTAAAGTACCTGATTTAAATAAATAATTAATAATAGATAATTTTGTCTTGTTAAAAATGTTAAATATCTTTTGGGTCTGAAAATAATAA